TCTTCATGTGTTCAATACTTTTTCCCTGTGCCATTCCGCATTATTACAAACAACTTAATTTCTGGACATTTATGGTTTGATTTCTTTGTATGTATGGATCACTTGGGTTGTTACCAACATCTGGTGAAAATTTCATGTCATTAGCACCTCTAGTAATATATTTACTGAGGAAAAATGGTGACGTGTTCAATACTTATTTTACCCGCTGTATACGCAGACGTAGCAAAATGGTATCTAATATAAGCAGAACAAAGGTAGCAAAATGCTAGCTCAAAGCTGACAGCAACATGAAAGAACAGAGCCAGTAGCTGAAGCAGATTTATAAAAGAACAAAGTTTCTGAAGGAATGAAGAGATCTGAATGTATTTGTACGTAAAAAATATTTTTTAAGTATAAAAGTTACAAAAACAAAACATCACAGCAGCCATCTGCTGAACGAACTGAAGGTTTTAAAGTTTGCAGAAGTAGTTAGAATTAAAACAACAAAAGAAGAAGATGCAGTAAATAAAGTGTAAATGCTGACTCAGTGTTTTCACTAACTTTTATAAACTTTAACCACAGCAGGTGGACAGGACCGCAGCTCACCTGAGGGGGATAGCGCCACCTGGTGAACGTTGTCTTCAAAGTGTTGCCAGCTGAGTCCAGTTTCAGGAAGAGGGCTGCAGAACAGTCCTCCTTTGAAGTCCAGACACCAGACGTGCCTGAAACCACAGGTCCCCCATCAGACACCTGAGATTCTCCAGTCAGACACCTGAAAGATGTGGGCCTACCTGTCCGTCACCTGCAGACTCAGAATTCCACATCCTGGACCCGAGTATCCCATCCAGCTTTCTGCCAGCTACAAAGAAAACAAGGGTCTCAGATTTAAAAAGTGGGTGCAGTAAAAGATTTACCACTGTTTTATGGTGGACTGGGTGAGACCACTTCGTCCAGACCTGGACCAGCAGACTCACGTCTCACCTGGTAAGGCCTGAGCCGGTCTCTGTTTTGGACCTCCAGGTCTGTTTGTCTTTCTGCTGTCCTCTCTGTCTCATTCAATGGACAAGAGACGGCGCTTCCTCCGCTGGGAAGACTGGGACAGTAGATGTCCTCGTCCTCGTCACTGGAGACGCTAGGATTCCTGTCCAGATTGGACACCGTAGAATAAAACATCTGGTCTCCGGGACCCGTGGAGAGAGGCAGGTGCTCCTCCTGAACAGAAGAATAATCAATTTAAAACTTATTTTAGTAGTCTACTGCTCATGAGTTCAAGTTCCAGGAAGGAAGAAAACAGCTTCAAATGTTCAGGAACAGAWCTAGAAACCAAACGTGGACACAGATGGGTCCAACGGGCCCGTGATACCAAACACACATCAGGTTTCTGACTGGAGAACTCAGGAGTGGCCTTCTTAAAGAGCACCGAACTCAACCTGACTGATCATTGGTGGACTCAGATTAAAGGCAGGAAACCAACCAGTTAAACTGCGGGAGGAGGAGGGAGCTGCACAAAAAAGAAGACCAAGTAGAAGAAGTAGTAGAAACAGTAGAAGTATTGTGTGTCCAAAACTGTAGGTGGTCTAGGTGGGCCGGGTCCTTGGTAGACCGGAAGGACCGGAAAAAAAGAGGCTGTGAATTTGGACGGTCTAGCCTCCCGTCCATACCCAGGTGTACGTCATGTCACCTAGCAACTGTGACAACGCTGAACAGAAGCAAAATTAGATCGAAATTAGAAGAACGTAAAGCATTATTAATAACACAAAACAATAAAATTAACTTAAAGGTAACATTTGAAGAACGAATTGACCCGCCGTAAGTGCATGTTTTCGCATTTTCTTCTGACAAAAATAATATTTAAAAACACGTCTATAAATGACAAAAGTATTAAAATTACAACCACATGAAAATTTTAATTTTTGCACCGCCATATTTTTATTTAAAACGTATTCTTTTCTCTCGCTTTGTCCGCCATTACTAGCATAAATAAAATCTCCGGTCGGGCCGCAATGCATTATGGGATATGCTGGGCCGGGAAGGATCCATCAGATCAGTCCTTCAAATCGGGGAAAAGGAAGGACGTATTTGTCGGCCACATCAGAGGAGTCTTCAGTTTTGGACAGCCTTCGTAGTGGCGCTGTGACGTAAGCAGCCGACGAATTCRGCCTTCGGAGGACCCGGCTCGCCATTTTGGACACAGTTGTAGAAGTAGAAATAATAGAAGAAGAAAAAGTAGAAGCAGCAGAAGAAGAAGCGGAGTAGGTAACACCAGAATGCTGACAGAGATAGAAAGCCTGGGGTGGATCTTTAGCCGGGATATTTTCCAAACAGAGGGAGTGAGTGGATATATTTATCTGTGTGAATTAGTAAATCTAAACTATTACAGGTCAGRTTATAACAGTTCATATGTCTCTGAAAGTGTATAAATGAGTAATAACTACCATCTCCTTGTGGAACTCAGCCAAAGGACTGAGAAACTCTTCCTCCTGCCCTTCGTCTTCCTCAGACTTCTTCATGTAGGAGAAGGAGCACTCCAGCAGCTGGTCTACGTCTGGGGTGGGGAGGGCTGCAGGTTCCTCTGAAGGAGCTGAGGTTCTCTTTGGGTTCTGCTGCTCCTCCAGACCACGGAGGAGCAGGGAGCTGGAGTCTGGGATGGACCTGAGAGTAAACATGGGAGTCAGGATCACAGGACCACGAGGATCGGATGGTGTTCATGRTTTCAGAATCCTTCATTACTCAGAYGTGTTGAAGGAGAGTTCCACTTCCTGTCCATCCTTCAGAACTTTATCTCCTGGAGTCCTCTGGCTCTGAAGGTCAGGACCGACACAAAATGCCGGGTCATTTGTAGGAGTCCCACTTTCTTCTCCGGTACAGTCGCCATCTTGGACCACAAACACGGAGTCTGAGCTGCTCGTCTCCACCAAACTGTTTCTGCTGCTGCTGTCTGAGGACAGAGAGAGAGACAGGTGAGACGGTTAGTCACCTCTACCTGTCTGTCTGCAGACGCCTACTCGCCTTGCTGCCTCTTCTTCTTCTTGTTCACTCTGACGGACTTCACCACCAGCTCCTGCTGCATCCTGTCCTGGTTCAGCGGGGCGCTGTAGCGTCTGAGGCTGTGCGCACAGGAAGCGGCGACGGCAGGGTTCTCTGGAAGACTGTTGCAGGAAGTGACAGAGCTGCTGAGGCAACAAGAGCCACTGTGCRAACCAGACGGCTGGCAGAGCTCCATCACCTGGACAAGTACAGGTAACAACAGGAAGTCCACTTAAAGAGCCTGTGACATGCATGTTCTTCAAACACAAAGTCAAAGAAAACATCTTTATATTTAAGAAAGTTGGAATAATACACACGATTTAACCCATTTTGTCACATAACTGGCATATTTTCTTTTGTACTTGGCTCAGCCAAAGTGAAACAGGAAATGACATCAAAGAGGAACTCTTTAACAAAGAAAACTCTCTGGTCTTTGTTTATTGAAACAATATTATTTGATCTGACTCTTCATCTCTGATAGAGACTCAAAATATTCTAAAGAAACATTGGATTCTTCTGTACAGTCTGTTGTTTGCTGTTGTAACAACGCTCTGTTTACATGCAGACATTCCCCTTTGACATCACTTCCTGTTACCTCACATGCAAATATTTCAACAACTGTTCATCTCAGCAACGTGAAATTTCTTTTGCAGTATTTTATCRATGTCCTCTTTCTAAAAAAGCATTCATATGTATTACAAAAAATTTGATGTCACAGGCCCTTTAAAGCACATCTCCTTTTTTAGCTGTTATTTTGTGACAGTGGCACCTCTGGCTGGTCATCCAGCTCTTCAGCCTCCTGTGCCAACACTCCTTCCTCCTCTTCCTCTCTAAACAGCATCTCGCTGCCACCAAGCTCCTCTTTGTCGTCTTCTTCTACGACAATGGCCACTGTTCTGATTGTGTGAGCTGCTCCCACTGATCCGGTCGGCTGGAGGACGAGGGGCGAGGTCAAAGGTGAAGGAAGGTGGATGGAGAGCGGTGGCACTGAGGAAAGCAGGTTGTAAACGTTAGATCTGGTGCAAYGTTTGTCGTTTGTTGTGTTTTTATAATTAGAGACAGTTCTCACAGTTGGACGGAACTCCCTCTGGGGTGTTGGAGAGACGGATGATGTCTCTGTCTCCTTTCAGGATGAAGATTTCGTTGTCACACRCCGACACAGACACTATGTCTCCACAGCTTTCCAAAGCACCGATTATGACCTTAAATCAAACAAAGAACCAGTGATGTTTTCCTCCAACGGTTACTTTGACACAGGAAAACACCATCATGCTCTTCCACAGCAAGTTACCTGAAGACATGACACGCTGTTAGCATCCAGCTAATGCTACATGACATGCTGTTAGAATTATATTAGCATCGAGCTAATGCTACATGACATGCTGTTAGCATCCAGCTAATGCTACATGACATGCTGTTAGAATTCTGTTAGTATCGAGCTAATGCTACATGACATGCTGTTAACATCAGCTAATGCTACATGATACGTTGTTAGCATGCAGCTAATGCTACATGACATGCTCTTAGAATTCTGTTAGTATCGAGCTAATGCTACATGACTTACTGTTAGAATTCTATTAGCATCGAGCTAATGCTACATGACACGCTGTTAGCATGCAGCTAATGTTACATGACATGCTGTTAGAATTCTGTTAGCATCGAGCTAATGCTACATGACATGCTGTTAGCATTGAGCTGATGCTACATGACATGACACACTGTTAGCATCCAGCTAATGCTACATGACATAACATGCTGTTAGCATTGAGCTAATGCTACATGACATTCTGTTAGCATCCAGCTAATGCTACATGACATGCTGTTAGAATTCTGTTAGCATTGAGCTAATGCTACATGACATGCTGTTAGCATTGAGCTGATGCTTCATGACATGACACACTGTTAGCATCCAGCTAATGCTACATGACATAACATGCTGTTAGCATTGAGCTAATGCTACATGACATTCTGTTAGCATCAAGCTAATGCTACATGACATGCTGTTAGAATTCTGTTAGCATCCAGCTAATGCTACATGACATGCTGTTAGAATTCTGTTAGCATCGAGCTAATGCTACATG